TTCGTTAACAGTACATAAACTGCATTAGTGGGAGAATTAGTCTTTAGGTAAATATTAATAGGCCTATTTCACGCATCTGTATTTTCAACATTTGGTTATCAGATGGCAACACCAATTGGTTTAGAGGTTTTTTTATCATAACAATTTATTAAGAAGAAAATGTACAAGAAATCATGAGCCACAATATTTATAGAGTTGATCTTAATTTTTGAGATAGAGCATAAGGAATATCGGTCTACATGTTCCACTTTTTAAAATTTAAACTGGTATATGAAAGTTTTCCAGTATTGTGTACTTAAAAAAGAAAAAAAATGTTTTGCATATTTGTACCTTTCACAAAAAATATGCAAATATTGATAAATGTGAAAAGCAGAATTCATGTCCTGATCATAGTCTTGTCATTTGTTTCTTTATTTAACACACTCATGACAGAAGCCCCTTATGCCATACTGTACAAGGTAGGGTACACAGAGTTAATTTGAAATGGATAGAAATATACAATTACCCTGCACTATATGCTCTTGGCTGTGGGATAAACAATTATTTAGGTTATGACCGCACAATTGTTTAGCGTACACATTACATGATGTGACAGGGCATCATTCCAGTGTGAGTGGGTAAGGGTGACTGTTAAATGACAATGTTTGCATTTCAGAATTTCATCTCAGAAGATTTGGTACATCACATGGTTCATCAAGTGCTACAAAATCCTGAAGAGGTTATCAGATCAAGAGTCCAAGTTTTGCCACTGTTAATTGCACTAGGAGGCTGTGAACTTCAGCATCTTAATCAACGCCAAGCTGTTGATGTTCTTGTTAATCATGAACAGATAAGAATCAAAGAGGTATTGTTAGGTTATTTTGTGCTGTTGTTTATTTCCATAATGTTTTCTGCTTTTCATTTTATATGCACAATAGATTTTGTATAAAAAAAAATAGACTGTCATTGCTACAGACAGCAATACTCTATTGAACCCAATGGATCTGGGTTCCATGCATGTGGCCCAAAATCTGGACATTAGGCTTACCTGAGTGGCAACTCTCCAAGGCTTGTGGCTTGTAGGCCCAGCCCACATGAAGATTTGTGTGCAGTGTCAAGAGCGTTTGCCTTCCATTTGCAATATTATTATCTCTTTTTCTGTATGTGATTTTTGCTTTTTTGCCATTTTCCAAGGTCTACATTTGTCATTTGATATGTTGTATCAAAATGACCATAGACTGTTTTCCTTACACAGACTCCATATTATCTTGCTAGGTAGTCTACAACTTTGTGCAATAACAGTAACAATGAGTAACATATTATATTTGTAATATTCAGTTTTCTGTAACACTGTGTCACCGATTATGGTGGGCAGGAATAGGATCCTGAATATGGAAATAGTGTCCCCTCTGGAGCTGATGCACTTCCAGCTCACTGATGGTACATTCCACCTTCATGTACTGATGGACATAATGGATTAGCCCCTTCGTAAATACCCACTGAATCTAGTCTTTAACTCATTCCCATCACCCTGGCCTTCACAGCTGAATTTTTTATGACACAATGTTCCCATCACCTTGGCGTTCAGCCATGATTGCATATTCTTGTTGCCCAGCCCTTAGGCAAATTTTTCTGTGACAGTTGCAACACCTGGATCCAATGGCTTAAGAAGTCATTTAAATCTGAACTTTGGCATTTCTGTCACCATCTCTCTTGATTTGCTTGATTTTTTGTTGTTGTTGTTATGTTGTTGATAATTAAGAATTTTAAGCCTAACATTTTTTCATGTTTTAAAGTTTACCTTGATTTTGTCATGTTGATCGGGTTTTTCTTGTAAAGTTTTATATTTTTATCCTTAAGCAGTGATTGCTGCACCACTACTATTTTTGTGCTTTTAATACTTGTACTTTAATAATATCCATCAGGAAAATTATTTCAAGAGACCCTGGATAAAACTGGCAATTGAATTGCTCTCCTTGGATTACCATCACACTCAGCTGCTAGAGTTGTTGACAAATCAAGATTTCCTTCAGGTGTAAGTACCATTCATTCCACTCATCTGGATCTGGAGAGGTTTGTTTCTTCACAAATGTCTCAGGTTAGATTCTTACATGACATCCCTAAAGAAATATTCACATGACTGTTTTTTGAAAGACTCAGGACTGTCAGAAGTGTGTACTATCGTAACTGAACTTTTTTCAGATACATGTCGACAAAAAAGGTACCTGTGTCAGAGTACAAACTTTTACTCAGAATACATCAGGCATTGGTAACATTTGGTCAGAATTCTCTTCAAATACCAGAGAAATACTTGCAAAAAGCAAGAACTTTTGCAAGAGAACGGGCTCCGTCAAAATCAGATCTGAAAGTTAGACTTCATCAAATTCTTGACAGTCCGGATCACCTTGTGTCTAGTGTGGTCACAAGCAATGATATTTATATTGGTAAGTTTAGGGAAGGAGTGATTTTGGTTTGCAATATTTGCAGTTGCTGAATAAAAGCCTTGGGGTAAATGTTTACT